AGTCGGCCGAAATGAGCTGCCTCCACAGGGTGGCCGGGCGCATCCTCAGAGAAAGGGTGAGGAGCTCGATCACCCGAGAGGAGCTCAGAGTAAAACCGCTGCTCCTCCACATTGAGAGGAGCCAGCTGAGGCGGCTCGGGCATCTGTTTCGGATGCCTCCTGCCTTCTGGGCGCCTTCCTAGGGAGGTGTTCCGGGCATGTCCCACGGACACGGAGAAGACCCAGGACACGCTGGAGGGACTATGTCTCTCGGCTGGCCTGGGAATGCCTCGGCATTCCCCCGGAGGAGCTGAAGGAAGTGTCTGGAGAGAGGGAAGTCTGGGCATCTTTGCTTAGACTGCTGCCCCCGCGACCCGGTCCCGGATAAGCGGAGGAAAATGGATGGATGGATGGGATGTAAATCCAACTCCTGCAGAAAGAGGCATTTATAAACAAGCCTTTCTTCAAATATTAGTGTACTGTTTTTATTTCATCAACTTCAAAATAGGAATTGTGACATATGCAAAATTTGGCACACCCTTCTACTTGTAAAACACTCAGAACTGTATTAATCAGTGGGCTTTAACAGACTTGTAACACAGGTAAAAAAAAATTGTCAATAGCAGTTGTCAGGTGATGGCAATTCTGTGTCTCTTCAAACCATTACAGCACTGAACATGGGTGTTGTAATGCTCCCATATACAAAACTCACTATGGTGCCAAAGCCACAGTCTGAAAACCTATTTATTCCTGTTAGAATAACATTTACACAAAAGACAAAAGCAGTTACGAGGAACTTGCGTAACCTTTTAGAATCATAGCAACCTTGACCTTTGACCTACAAAGTTCATCCATGAGTCCAGGTGGACGTTTGTGCCAGATGTATTGAAATTCCTGAGAAATCCTGTTTACAAGAAGGGGCTGGCCAGACAACCTGAAAACAGGATGTCTCCAGCTGTGGCTATCACTGGCACAGAGGCATAATAGAAAATTAATACATACTGTATATTTTAATATTTTTGAATTACAAAATATAAATTTCATGGACAACAGTAATTTACTTTTCACTGGGCAGTATATTTACTGTAGGTGTACTACTGAATGAAATGCTAATCTTAAAAACAGCTTTGTTTTCTTAATAGAGACTTATTTCTTTTGCCCTCACTGGCTCATTAAGAGCGACTACATTGTGTGACATCGGCTCTCTCCATGTTTTGACCCCCATTACCTCTGGTTCTTTTTCAGCTGTGACCATTGTTCTTCCTTCAGCCTTTTCATAAAGTCACTCCCAGACAGAAAACCTCTCTCTGAGGCCCTGAACACCTCGCTTTACTTCTACACCACTATCACAATTCCACATCTGTCCTCCTCTCCCTCATCATCATTTACATTTTCAAATCTGCATTTTTCATATAGATCCCACCTTACTCTAATTTTAATATCACTGTTATTTCCCATGACACCGTTTGTTTTATTATACATTATGAATTTCTTTTCTTTCTGTCTCCCTCTCATCTGTTACTTTCTCCTGCTCCTCCCTCCCTGCCCCCCTTTTCCTCTCCCTTTCCTCTTCTAATCCCTGTGCCCACACCACGCTTATGAGCTGAAATATTTTATCAGGTGGAACCCTCAGTCAAACTTATCATTTTAATCTTATTTCAATAAAAAAAATAATCTCTCTTCTTGGCTGTTTGACAGCAGCTAATGGTTTTTCGTTATCGTAAAGGAAAGTTTGAGGACTGAGATAGACTGCCAAAAAAATGCAAAAAAAAAAAAAAACCCTCCTACCCTCCTGTATATTTGTCCCCCAATGATTAATAAAGCATGCACTGAGAACAGGTAACATATGAGATGAGAGGACAAAAGCCTGCCAAATAGATTCATGCACGTGTGCAGATTTACATATTCCTGTAGCCTTTGAAGCTACAGGAATATGTACGGCTGTTTTCGAAGACTCTATTGTGATGCATTGTTTGTTTTTGGTATTTGCAGGTGCTTACAGCACAGATACCACTTTCTGTGCTAGTGCATGTGTAGGTTTTTCTCCTTTACCTTCATCAAAATGGCATGAACTTCATTATTTTTAGAACCAAACAGACCCATATGTTACATGACAGACGGATTTCCCTCCACCTCAGCAGCAGTGTTAGTGACGTAGGGTTGAGTAGATTCTCCCTCATAAAGGATATTTTTACATTGCTCAAATTTGTCTTGATACAAGACTCACATGTTCTTACAAGCAATGACTGTTGTAGCCATTTCTCTAGCCCATACTAGCCATAAAAAGATCCCTTTCTAATACGGTTCCAGTTTAGGAAATGAGGCACAAAAACCTGTTTCTGTTCAGGTTCAACAGTCTGACTTAGCAACATCTTCCAATATTACGTATGGCCTTTTTTGTACAGACATTCCTTTTGGATGTGACAGGAACAGCTCCACAGAATGATCAAAGAGTCCTTCTAATCAATTTGACCAAACCATCACAACTGGCTGCAACAAGAAGCAAAACATCTACTAGTCTTAAAGGTGAGCCAAAACACACTGTGAGGAAATCTTGTATCCACAGTCTCATCATTTTGGTTACTGCCCAGAGTTCATGACTATAAATGAGGATTGATGGGGCTCAGAGATGCAGATGGAACTATTCCTATCTGATAACAGTTGTAGTGAGCAGAAGGTTTGCAGTGTAAACACTTTGTTAGATGTTTGTTACTGAAAAGGAGAGGACCTCTGACAATCTTCCTTTAATCTGTCTTTATGTTGTTCTCACTCTCAGCAGACTCCACTGGCATCAGAAATGCAGGAGCCAGTCACAGATGTTGCTCCACATGACATCTCTGTTGACCCTGATGTTACATACAAGTGGAGATGCACATCAGTTACACTGTACCCTATGGTGTGAGACTGCACATGTAGAATAAAGGCTGCACTCCACCATTTCCCAGCAGAGTATCATCCCATCACATTTGCACCTGTTGTTTCTTACGTATGTCTGTTTCTTCCAGCTCAGCTACTAACCATCCAAACGTGGACTGGTGACAAACAGGTACATTTAGGACACCGAGCTGTCAGAGGCCAACAACCACTGAAGAGTGTTTGACTTCCTTTCTTGTCAGTAATGTCTGTCAACAAGCATATGCAAGGTTTATGCAAACACACTAGAAATGTAAAACACATCACTTCTTTTTCCCCACTTCATAGTTTTTGCAAAAGGTCTCCCAGAAAGCTCTGAGCTGGTTAAAGGTTGAAACAATAATGTGCATTTCAAATCAGTGACAGAGAGAATAAAAACATGTTCACTGATATAAAATTGTTACAGGTGATCACTATACAGCTGTCACTTGTTCACAGACTTCAGGGAAGCTGCAGCAAACAGAGGAATAGAGGTAGGAGGGTGGGGTAAGAGGAGAGGGAGGAATATCAGGGTGGGAACTAGAGATGCCCTCAACCCAACCTCCTCCTGTTTTTCATGTACTCAGTGTCCATCCCTGTCTCTGTCCTCCATATCACCTCCCAGCTGGCTATTAGAAACACTGGGGGCACATTCCCTGACAGATAATTTGTTAAGTAAAGGAAACAGATGTCTTACGTTACTTGTTGTAAGTCTTTTTTCTCTTTTTCTTTTTTCCACTTTTGGGGGGTGGGGGTACAGGGGGTCACTGAATTCACCACTTAATTCAGTTGGAAGGCAGAGGAATAAGAAGGCCATGGTGGGAGTGTCTGGGGACCCACAAACATCATTCACATCTCCACATAATCATCAAGGCCATGCTGGGATGCCTCCTTAATTTACATAATACCGTCCCGACACTTTTACTCCTGCTATCCATCAAGGCTGGGATGAGGGGATGAGGCCTTCTCCTCTGTTCTCCTTGTCCCACCGTCTATCTTTTCTCCCTCTGATTGTGACTTGTGTTTATCTGCCCAAGCACAAAAGATTGATTCTCCACTGCTTCTCCCCCTTATGTTCAGCAGATATGAATTTTCACGGGATGATGAAGCACCACGTCAGCTAATAATAAACAGAAAACACATATTCAAACACAGAGAGAAGAAAGGCAGAGAGGAGGGGAAGTGGCTGTCTTTGTTTGGCTGATGAGAAGAGATGGATGTTGTAGGGTAAGAGACTGAAGAAGGTATTCTGAAGAAAGTTAAAGTAAAGATGCAGTTCTTTTTTCTCTCCCTGTCACTGCTGGTGGGGGCGGGCAGAGTAAATATGACAGAGGGGAGACTGAGAAGACACAATGCTGTCTGTTTCATTGTTGTTAACCTTGTGTTGTCAGACAAAGCAGACTGCACC